AAGCAGTAGAAGAAGGCCCAAGTCCTTGGGCCCCTGCACCCGTGTGGGAGACCTGGAAGAAGCTCCTGGCTCCTGGCTTCAGATCGGTGCAGTTCCGGCTGTTGCGGCCATCTGGGGAGTGAACCATCAGATGGAAGACCTCCCTCCTTCCCCCCCGCCCCCTCTGCCTCTCCTCTCTCTGTGTAACTCTGACTTTCAAATAAATAAATAAATCTTAAAAAAAAAAAAAAAGGCAGAGTGACAGAGAGAGAGAGAGATCGATACGCACTTCATGCCCCACATGGCCACAACAGGCAGAGTTGAGCCAAGATGAAGCCAGGATCCAGGAACTCCTGGTCTCCCACATGGGTGGTAGGGATGCAAGTACTTGGGGCCACCTTCTGTTACATTTCTAGGCACATTAACAGGGCTGGATTGGAAGCAGAGTAGCCTGGACTTGAACTGGCACTCTGATATAGGATGCTGGTGTCCCAAATGGTGGCTTACCCCTCTGTGCCACACACTGGCCCCAGGTTACTACTTGTGTATTGTACATCCTTTAGAGAGATTGTATGTGTGTGGCTTTGTTTTTAAAGCCCACATTTCTTATTTGGTTGTTCTTATAGATTGGACAGGACTTGGCTCCCCAAACTCATGCAGACACTTGAACACCCCAATCCTGTATTAACAATTAATGGATGGCCGGCGCCGCGGCTCACTAGGCTAATCCTCCGCCTAGCGGCGCCGGCACACCGGGTTCTAGTCCCGGTTGGGGCGCCGGATTCTGTCCCGGTTGCCCCTCTCCCAGGCCAGCTCTCTGCTGTGGCCAGGGAGTGCAGTGGAGGATGGCCCAGGTGCTTGGGCCCTGCACCCCATGGGAGACCAGGAAAAGCACCTGGCTCCTGGCTCCTGCCATCGGATCAGTGTGGTGTGCCGGCCGCAGCGCGCCGGCTGCGGCGGCCATTGGAGGGTGAACCAACGACAAAGGAAGACCTTTCTCTCTCTCTCTCACTGTCGACTCTGCCTGTCAAAAAATAAATAAAAAAATAAATAAAATAAAAAATAATTAATGGAGTCACGCTGATGGTTGATGGATTAGGGTGGAGGCTTGATCCATTTATGACATCTGAAGGCGGGGCCTTTGGGAAGTGATTTGATTGGATTAGATTGCTGTAGTAGGCCACATGATCAAATCGTGATAGCTTTGTCAGGGGAGACCACAGAGAAAGTAAAGGAAAAGCATGTCTTGTATCTGTCTCTGCCTTGTGACTGTTCCTCTGCACTGGCTCCACCATTGCCAGCCCCCACTGGGTTCCAGACTAGTGGGGCCACCTGATCTTGGACTGTGAGCCTCCGAACTCTAAGCCAGAGTAACCTTCTTCCAGTCTAAGTGGCTCCTCTCAAGTGTCTGAGTTAGGGGCCAGCGTTGTGGCATAGAAGGTATAAAACCATTGCTTGCAGCACCAGCATCCCATACAGGAGCCGGTTCGAATCCCGGCTACTCCACTTTCGATTCAGCTCCCTGCTAATGGCCTGGGAAAAGCAGTAGAAGATGATCCAAATATTTGGGCTCCTGCACCCACCTCGGAGACCCAGCAGAAACTCCTGGCTCCTGGTTTTGGCCTGGCCCATCCCTGGCCACTCCTCCCTCTCTCCCCCCTCTCTGTCTCTCTAACTCTGACTTCCAAATAAAATAATCTTTTTAAAAAAGTATTTTAGTTAAAGTAATGCAGCACTGATACAGTTTTAATTAAGAGTAAGAGGGTACTTCAAAAAGTTAGTGAAAAGAATTAAAAGATGTTTATTTTTGTGCAAAAGTATTTTTGAAATCTGTGGGTAGTCTTTCTAGAATATGTATTCTCCCATGCAGGTGCAGGGGCCCAAGACTTGGGCCATCTTCTACTGATTTCCCAGGCCATAGCAGAGAGCTGGATTGGAAGTAGAGCAGCTGGGACTCGAGCCTATGCCCATATGGGATGCCAGCACTGCAGGCAGCAGCTTTACCTGCTATGCCACAGCACTGGCCCCTCCATGAATTTTTTGAAGATCCTTAATATAATCAGTCTTACTGGACAGTATTTTGCTCATTGGCTTCAGAGCTAGGGAAGGAGAGACTGCTCATTCCCAACCCTTTGAGTAGGAGAGGAAGCAAAGCTTCGTGGATGGCTTTCCTTGGTGACTTCAAGCTCCCAGCCTCACTTTGTACTCTCTCTGGCAGGTGGACAGCAGTCAGCTTCAGGGTGGTGCTTCCCAGAGATATGCAGTACAGAGAACGGAGTGCAGCTCTTGGTGTTTCCGGTTCAGGTCCCCTGTGGTTTCCCTGGGGCTGTGTCATCTCTGATGCCCTTTCTTGCTCTCTCTGTCTTGCTCCGACTGCATCACCCAGTACCTCTCGGCCATCATTACCGAGTTATCACGGGCCAGGGAGCTCCCTTGGAGCACGGCCTGGGAGCAGCTGTCACATTGGAGCAGCATCTGCTCTCTGACATGCTTGAAGACAAGATGAAGAAAGCCACAGAGTCTGTCCCTGTACAGGTGGATACCACAGGCAGGTTTGGGACTCCGTTCAGTTTTGCCCGGAGGCCTGGCTGCTGGTGGAGGGGAGGATGGAAGGGGGGCTCACTCCAGACGGGTCAGGGATCTTCAGGGTCCCAGCCTGTGGTCTGTGTCGGGTCCTCCTGCTGGAATTGGTTTCTTCAGCCTCTGGCTCCAGCCTTTTCTGGGCAGGGAAACACGAGGCGAAATGCCTGGTGTGTTTTAAATAGATTCTGCCTGCTGCAGCCAGTGAGCCCGACAGCTTGGAAGGTGAGTGACCCTTCCTGGGAGATTAATGTCGCGCCAGTCCTCTTGCCTCCAGCCTCCAGCCGTTTGGCTGTTGACCACCCAGCCCCCTGCCGCCTCCTCTCTGACCCCAAACCGCTGCTCTCTGGATGGGTTCTCTTTAGGCCTTTCTGGTTTTAGCATTTACTCAACACTTTTATTGGTTTTTCACTCTCTGCGTTTTCTTTTTCCAAAGCCGACTTTTTTTTGTGCTCTGTATCTCTTTATCTCCTGAGGTCTGTGAGTGTCCACTCTGCTTCCCACCAGACTCTGCTGGGTGTGCAGCTTGGGGGGGCAGGAGAAGCTGGACCCTGGGGCCAGCAATCTGAGGTGGCAGTCGGTGCCGGGCCTCGTCGGACTGCCCCGGGCTGAGCACGGGCGTGTTCACAGAGAAGACCTCAGAAGTGCAGAGACCCAGCATGGCCTCTCTCCACCCCAGCCATGGAGACCATCTATGAGACTTAAGAGTAATCATAAAGCCGGCGCCGCGGCTCACTAGGCTAATCCTCCGCCTTGCGGCACTGGCACACTGGGTTCTAGTCCCGGTCGGGGCGCCGGATTCTGTCCCGGTTGCCCCTCTTCCAGGCCAGCTCTCTGCTGTGGCCAGGGAGTGCAGTGGAGGATGGCCCAAGTGCTTGGGCCCTGCACCCCATGGGAGACCAGGAGAAGCACCTGGCTCCTGCCATCGGATCAGCACGGTGCGCCAGCCGCAGCGCACCAGCCGCGGCGGCCATTGGAGGGTGAACCAACGGCAAAGGAAGACCTTTCTGTCTGTCTCTCTCTCTCACTGTCCACTCTGCCTGTCAAAAAAAAAAAAAAAAAAAAGTAATCATAAGCATATGGTTACTAGGATCTTTAGTTCCTAGCAAGAGATGATGCAAAGGGAATGAGCTGCTATTTTTCATTTGCTAACGGGAAATTGGCTGTGTTGATCCAGGAAAGAAGTAGGGTGTGGAGAGGGGATGGGGGGAGCCTGCCTTGAGCAGCCTCAGCTGCGGGCAGGTGACGGCTCCAGACTGGGCAGCAGACCTCACGGATGGTGGCTGTGTCTTGGCAGTGTGGCCCAGCAGCAGGTCAGCCACAGGTTGGGGGATGAGTGGAACCAGAGGAGGGTGGAGGGGAGCGATGGGCCTGCACCCATCCAAGGTTTCAGAGAGCCAGAAAAGGAAGGCAGGTGGAGTTGAGATGTTGTAAGGGAAGGCTGATGAGGAGCCAGCAGAGGGGAGAAAGCCAGGGCGGAGGAAGCGAGGCAGCCCAGCTGTGCCGAGTGGGGCGAGCAGTGTGGGGTGAGGCCAGGAAAAAAGGCATCCTGGGAGAGCCTCCCCCCATTCATTCAAGTCCTTTTCTTCTTCAGCGTCCCTGTGCTCTTGTTACGGTCACAGCAGCAAACAAGGTGGCAGTCTGTCCTTGAAAGGGACTTTAGGCTGGCCGTGTGTCCCTCTTGCTGGTAACAAGCCTCTTTGCTCCTCTGGTTGCTGGAGCTGGGAGAGCCCGGTCCTTCCTGGAACACCCTGAGTGGAGTCCCTGCACTGCCTGATGGCCCAGAAGAGTGCCGGGGCCCAGATAGCCAGCAAGGGCTGTGCCCCACAGGATGCCTGCTGGCTCGTGGGGCAGCCGGAGAGCAGGCCCAGGCCTGAAGGGCGGCTTCCAGTGCCATCACTGGGCTCAGCTTCCCTAGGGAGCGAGCCGCACAGAGGCCCACGGGAGGAGAAGGAGAAAGGAGAACTTTGCTCTTACTTAAAGCAGTGTTGGGGTGAAGAGGAAGTCAAGGCAACAAATTGAGAAGGTGCAGCAGGGTGCGCAGTAAATGCAGGCTTTCCCCACGCTCTTCTCCCGGGTGCACCTGTTCCCGGTACGTCCCTCCCAGTGCTCCTTTGTACGTCTCCGGCAGTCCACAGGTTTTCAGACTCTTGGTCAAAGGGAGTCTTTTACACTGTGTGGGTGTATATGTGTGTATGTAATGTGTTCGTGTACGTGTGGGGGGGTTAAATGACACCTCAGGTTTTTTGCCACTAATTTTCATGAGGGCAGATAAGGGTTTATCATATAAACTTGAGTAAACAGAGCCCTAAAATGCTACCATCAGAAAGGCCCCTCCAGGGGCCCTGATTGTAAACATGCAAAAGAGGCCCAGGTAGATGACTTTTCCAGGGTCACCAGGCTGGGTGATGGCACCCGTGGTATTAAAACCCAGGCTAGGATTCCCACCTCCCAATCAGCCCACTTTCCCATAAACACACCACGTGTTCTGTTTTTGGGTAGAGGTCTTTGTAAAGATACTCGATTTAGCACAGGGAGGAAGACAAATGATTAGGCATGGGTTCAGAAATTTCTTCCAGTGGACACAAATGTTGGGAAGGACATCAGTTATTCCAGGAAAACCTTAAAATCAAATTCCAACTGAAAAGTGGAGGGGCCGACATTGCGAGGTAGTGGGTGAGGCTAGCTGTGATGCCGGCATCCCATATGGGCGCTGGTTCAAGTCCCGGCTGCTCCACTTCTGATCTGCAAATGCACCTGGGAAAGCAGCGAAGGGTGATCCTGGTCTTGGGGCCCCCTGCAGCCACATGGGAGACCCGGAAGAAGCTTCTGACTTCAACCTTGCCCAGCCCCAGCTGTTGCAACCATTCAAGGAGTGAACCAACAGATGGAAGATCTCTTTCTCTCTCTCCCTCTCTCTCGCTGTAACTCTGCCTTTCAAATAAACAAAATACGTCTTAAGAAAAATATGAGAGTGCATGCACACTCCCCTCCCCGCCACACGCACACCTGTGCACACAGGCACTGGCCGATGACAGAAGCTGATAGTTGACAGAATCTACTGTGCTGCTGGAGTCCAGGCTGAGATTCAGGGACTGTGAGAGGCAGCACAGCACCACCTCTGCTCAGGACCTGCTGTCCCTGGGCAGGAGACAGGGGCAGGCATTTTTGTTGTTGGGCAGGAGGGAGAAGTGTCAGACCAGACTAAGAGGACAAGTGCATGGACGCGGGGTGGGGGTGCCCAGGGGGAGGGGTGCCAGCCCCATGCCACCCTGCAGCTCTGGCTCCCTGGCAGACAGCCCCTCCCCCCTTGCCCATTACCACCACCCACCAAGAGGAAACTGCAATATTGCTGTGCTGATAACATGGCAGGATGATTTTTTAAAATTGCTGTGACACCAGCTCCAGACACAGTGGACATTCACAGTGTCCCACACTGGGTTGATGGGCCTCTTGATGGCTCCAGAGGGTGGTTGGGGGCTGTGGGGGCACGGTTGACTGTCAACGCTGGCTGTAAAAACCCTCAATTGCTATGAAATTGTAAATTCCCAAGCGCTGTGGGTCTCCCGTTATACGCCTCCTGCATTAACAGCTGCTTCTTACTGTTCAATTATTTTGACTGGTAAGGGAGTAGACATTGCACTCCAAAATATATCGATGGGCACTTTCAGTCCGGCTGAGAGTTTCAAAATACATACCAGTCCTGGAAGCATTCCCTCCATTTCTGCGGCCCGGTTTCACAAGGAAAACGGAGGCATCAATGATAGATGCTGTTGGTCTGAAAGAAACGCGGGACCAGGGTCACGGGTCTCTTCCATTCGAGTTCTCTCTGGTCTTGTTGCCTGACCGCCTTGAGACTGAGCCAGAGTTTGTTCAGGCCTAGGCCTAGGAGCCCATTCTGATAGGGAGCAGATGATGAGGTCCTCGATTAAAAAAAAAAAAAAAAGTTCCTAAGGGCCTGGCTCCAGGGGCTTGAGTCTGGGCAGCTGACGGAGGCAGATAAAGCAATGCCAGCTCTCTGTCTCTCCGACTTCACACAGGGACCCAGAAGCCCTCTCTACAGGTGCACATGGCCTCTCCCCGATACCTCAGTGCAGGGCACACGGGAGCCTTCCAGCAACCTGGTTGTCCCACTGTGGTTCTGATTTCTCATTTTTGCCCGAGCAGCCCCATGCACTCCTCTTCCTGAGTCCTGTCCTGGATCCGTTGCTGCCCTCTCGGGCTGACCCCCTAGAGCCCAAGTTCAGTTGAACACACCTCCCAAATCTCCTGCATCCTGTTTCAGTGAGTGGTTCCCATACACCAAGCACTTGTCTCCTAAACAAGAGGTATTCATGTTCTTCTCAAGCCCCCCCTCTCATGTCCACCTCCCACTGATCAGCAAATCCTTTGAGTCCACCTTTTCTCTCCTGCTCCCACGTTACTGCTCCAATCAGGCCACAAGATTGGCTGCTTGGACATTTGCCGTATCACTGGGATGCCCCACTGCTAGACTTGAGCCTTCTCACTGATTCATAACTGACCATGGCACTCACTCTCTGTTTTATAATTGTGGATGGTTCTCCCTGGCTTACCAGAACAAGTCCAGATTCCTTAGAAAGGCATACAAGGTATCTGTTAACTGGCCCGTGTCTACCCCTGTAGCCTTATTACCATCTCCATCCCCTACAGCATGGACACCAAACCACTCACCATGGCCTATGCTCCCATACACACTTCTAAAAATATTTGAAAGCCAGGAGGAGAAAGCAAGAGATCTTCCATTCACTTGTTCATTCCCCAAATGCCTGCAACAGCCAGGGCTGGGCCAGGTTGAAGCCTGGAGCCAGGAGCCCATCCACATCTTGCAAGAGGATTGTAGGGACTCAAGTTCTTGAGCCATCATCTCCTGCTTCCCACGTGAATTAGCAGAGAACCAGATCAGAAGTGGAGCAGCTGGGGCTCCAGCCATCTCTGATCCGGGATGCAGCAGTGGCTTAACCTGCTTGGCCACAGTGCCTGCCCCTCTCACACCTATGTTAGGGTGTCCAGGTACACGTCGGAGCAGGTTTTGTTTGCCCCTCTTCCCAGGGAGCCCACTCTTTAACACCTTAAGGATCAGCTCTCAAGTGACTTCTGGTCTGTGAAGGTGCTCTCTCTGTAGACCCCTATCACATCATCCTGTTTTTATGTTTATTTCCCTGTTGTCAACTACTGGGCTCCTCAGAAGCTGGGGCCAGATCCTGTTCATTTTGTACCCCTAGGACCTAGGAGCGCCTGGTGTGGTAAGTGTCCAAGAAGGAAGGACAAAGAAGGGCCCGGAAATACCCAGCCAATGGGCAAACAGGCACTGGACTTGCCGCGTGGCATTTTCATGGGACAGAATGGGGAGCGGCAGCAGCCTGCCACCCTGCACAGCCATCCATTCATTCATTCCCTCTGACAGGCACGTGGCAGGCCCGGGCCTGGCGTCTTGGTGGGCCATCTGGTCTGCTCTGACGACCTCTGCAGAGGCTGTGGGAATGGGGAGGCCTTAGAGCTCTGCCTCTGGGACTGCTCTTGCTGGTCCGCAGCTTTCTGCCTTTCTCCTATGCATGAATTCCTTGTTCCTAGTGCAAGTATCGGACACCTCGCTCAGTAGCTCACAGCCCCTGCGGTCCTCCCTTCCCCAAGTGCAGCAGCTGGCCTGTTGCACAATCCGTGTAACACGGTGGCTCCTGCAGTTGCTCACCAGAATCGGGGTCATTCCTTCCCTCCTTTCTCGTCCTCTCTCCATGGGCAGCCCCGACGCGAGGCTCTGAATGTGTCCCCAAAGTTCATGCATTAGAATTTTGTTCCTGTCCCTCAAAGTCCTAAGTTAATGGTATGTGGAGGTGGTTGGGATTAGATGAGGACAGGGAGGGTGGGGGGCATGATGGCATCAGTGACTTTATACGAAGAGGAAGAGACCTGAGCTAGTGCACCTGCCCTGCCTCTGCCAGGCTACAATGCAGCAAGAGGGCCCTTGGGGCCGGCGCTGTGGTGTAGCGGATAAAGCCACTGCCTGCGATGGTGGCATCCCATATGGGTGCTGGTTCAAGTTCCAGCTGCCCTACTTCCCATCCAGCTCCCTGCTATGGCCTGGGAAAGCAGGGGAGGATGGCCCCTGACACCCATGTGGGAGTCCTGGATGAAGCTCTTGGCTTCGGCCTGGCCCAGCCCCAGCCATTACGGCCATCTGGGGAGTGAACCAGTGGATAGAAGATCTCTCTGTGGAAGTCTTTCAAATAACAAATCTTTAAAAAAAAGAAAAAAAAAAAAAAACCACCCTCACCAGAAGGCATGAAGATGTAGGTGCCATGTAGGCGCCATGCTCTGAGGTGTCCCGGCCTCCAGAACCATGAGCCAAACGAACCTCTGGTGCAGATGCTCTCCTGGATGGCCGGGGACCCCCACAGGCATCGGTCTCACCATCTGTGGAAAGGGGACGCTACATGGTCACAGGATATGTTGTCACGATGCTGGCCCTCAGCTGCCTTGCTAGACCCTCTGCAGGACCCCCTATTCCACATCCTCTCTTTGGAGGTTCACATTGCTGGCTGGGCCACTTCGGATGCACTTAGGCACCCTTGTGATGAGAGGGGAATCATAGTTGCAGCTGTGACCCGGGCTTCTGGCATCAAAATGCCAAGTAGAGTTTTCTTCCCTTCACCTGAAATGTACAGGGAACATCCATTACAGGCATGCTCAGTCCTGGTGCTGAAAAAAACGGAAAACACTGTCTGATTTCACTTGTGTGCCCCTAGTGTAAGGATGGGGGCGGGGGAGGGAGAGGGAATCAGTGCCCAAAGTGGCTTCATGTGGAGACGGGACCCTATCTGTGTCTTCAGACGCAGTGTCCACCAGTCCGAGCAGGAAGCAACTCTGCTGCCACCTCTGCCCCTGGCATTCAAGGCCCTCCTGAGTCCAGAGGGGCCCCCAACAGCCAATGCCAACTCCCACCAAACCCTTCCAGCATCCTGGCTCCCGTGCAGTGCCGGACAGCCCTCCCTCAGAGCTCATCCAGCAGTTCCAAGTCCTGGACCTCTGCTCCCATGACTGCTGCAGCCCGCACCCTAACCCCTCCCCTCCCCCTTCCCTGCCCCTTGGGGATCTAGTCAAAGGATTTATCCACTTTCTCTGAGAAGCCTCCCAAAAGACCACCTTGCAATATTCTCCCCCCACCCCGCCGACTTCCTGCTTATTTCACATCTGTTGCTCTGTGCCCAGCCCTGTGCCGGTGAGGAGTCCAGCCCACCGTGCCTTCTGCCCGGATCCGGAGTAGTTCCCAGCCGATTCTTAACGGGGCGCAAACTCAGCGGCGTCTGGGTCCTGGTATCTTCCCACCGCGTTCTGCACTTCGTTGGAAAGTGTCAGATGGGCGATAGCTTGGACACCGGGCTCTGTCCACTTATTAGCCAGGCATCGTGGGGAGAATCATCTGATGATGAGTGGGGGGAAGCATCGTGAAAGCTGTTAGCGCCAGGCTAGGGAAAGACGTGAGGTGGCTGCACCCCCGTTCTCCTTGCGCCAGCTTTGAGGCACCGTCGCATGCCCTGCGCTCTCCCCGAATGTCAAGTGCACCAGCTTCCAAGCCCTCCTCGGGGCGGGCCCTCGGGCGGCTCTGAATCGAAGGCTGCGGAGGATTCCAGTGCAAACTCTGGGCTCTCCTCCCCGCCCAGGAGCTCCTTCCCAAGGACTCGCCAAACACACACCTTGAACCCCGCGCCAGAGCGCAGTTCAGAGCGCGGCCCGGAACTGCAGCTCCACGGGGCGGGCCCAGGCCGGGGGTCGCGCATCTCCAGCCGGTGACTCAGGGCCGCTCGGTCCCGGGGTGAGTCTGGGTAGGCGGGACCGAGCAGGGCCGCGCGGGGGCAGCCGCCGGGCGCTCGGTGCCCTGGGCGCTGGGAGCCAAGGCTGGCTCTGGCCCGTCGCCATTCCGCCGCGGGCGTCGGTCTCGGCTGGGGCCCCGGGCACCAGAGGCAGGCCCGCGCGCTCCTCTCCCGGTGCGCAGCGGCCGGCAGCGGCTGGAGCGCAGGGCGGGCTGTGCGCGTGAATGAATGGGCGCCCGGGGGACGCGCGCGCTCGGGGCTGAAGGGCATTAGGACCGTGAGGATCGCTCGGCGATCCTGTCTCTCCCTATCACCCCCACCCCCCCACCTCGCTCCTTTTTCTGCTCTGCAGGACTGAGCAGCCAGGCGCGAGCGCAAACAAACAGCTGGGGCTGCGAGCGCCCCCGCCCCGGCCCGGAGAGCAGCCGGCCCGGCCCCCAGCCGGGGCGCCCGTCCGCCCACCATGAGGAAAATCCGCGCCAATGCTATCGCCATCCTGACCGTAGCCTGGATCCTGGGCACTTTCTACTACTTATGGCAGGACAACCGAGCCCACGCAGCATCCTCCGGCGGCCGGGGCGCGCCGAGGGCCGGCGGGAGGCCGGAGCAGCTCCGCGAGGACCGCACCATCCCGCTCATTGTGAGTCCGCCCGGTGCGCCGCGCGGCCGGCCGGGGAGCCGCGGCGCGCGTCCTGCCCCCGCGCGGCAGCCGAGGGCGCGGGGCCCGGCCGGGGGCTGAGTGCCCGCCGCGCCGGGCCGGCTTTGTATATGTTGGAGCATTCCAGCTCGTTGTTATGGCAACCTCGGCCCGGCTGGCGGGACCGGGGTGCGCGGATGAGGGGAGGGTGACAGCGGGTGGGGGCTGGGAGAAAGTGCTGCAAGTTTGGTGGGCCCGGCGTGCGCGCGCGACGGGGAACGTGGCGGCTCTCCCCGCAAGGCGCCGCCGGCCCGGGGGTTGGGGGGCTGCGGGCTCCTCCGCCGCGCGGGCTGGCGGCTCCTGGACCTTGAGCGCAGCAGGCAGGCGTTGGGAGCGGCGCGCAGCCGAGCGCGTAGGTGGAGGTGCGCGCCCCCTCTCCAGCCTCCTGGGGGCAAAGGACGTCGGTGGCGGCGTGGAGAGGGGAGGGTTGCTAGGCGTTGCTCCTGCCTTCGCGCCCCGTTCTCAGCCCGCGTCAACTTGAACCGGTTTCTCCGCACTGACACCCTGCGGTGTTCTCTGAGTGGGGGGGTGGGGTGGGGGAAGGTCTGGTCTGCGCCCCTCACCCCAACGTTAGGATCCCCCACCCCCCACCCTCACCCCCTGCACGGACCAGAGGGCAGTATGGGTCCGCGCCCCGGCTGGGTCATTCCCTAGCTTGAGGTCAGCCCGCGTC